ATCAGTGTCTGCATTTCTGGAGTCCGTCTCGCCTGAGTGACTGACTGCCGCAGGTTCGGCTGCTGGTCTACCTTCAGAGAAAACTCACAGCCGCAGGTTCGGCTGCAGGTCTACCTTCAGAGAAAACTCACAGCTGCAGGTTCGGCTGCTGGTCTACCTTCAGAGAAAACTCACAGCCGCAGGTTCGGCTGCTGGTCTACCTTCAGAGAAAACTCTCCAGCTCAGCCTCCCGTCAGGCTCATCCCAATCAACCACTTGGCAGCCGCCGCCTTTTCACTTTCCACATGTTCCACTCCCTCGCCTTCACATCCTCTTCACCTCTTTTTATTATTTACCCAGTTTCACGTGCAACTTTGACAGGCATGTGTTTCTGCAGCCAGTGTGGGTATTTTTACACTCAGTATTTACAATATCCTCTCATGGGGCTGGTTCATTTTTAAATACTCTTTTAAAGTGTCTGGAATTGAATTTACATCATTGTGAGATACTCAACCCTTCCCTGAATCCAAACTGATGGCTGTGATTTTACTAACGGCTCATAAAAAGCACAGACGTGGACAAAACTTCAACAATACACAAACTAAACAAAGAAAGTTAGAATAAAATGTGCAGAGAACATTAGACTGACCGTGGAGGTGGACGATATTTGCACAGTGCAGCTCAGTACTGGCCCACTGTGTGGGTGTATTCCTATTTCACACACAAAAACCCTCCCATGCTGGGAGACTGACTCATGTTGTCCTCAAGGGGCAAAGGCTGAGTGAAAACACCCACGCCACAGGCCGTCAGGGCTTCAAGAGCTGCTCGGATTGAAAACATGTGTGCATTAATACCTGCACAAGGCCCATGAGCAAATATATCGCCTGGACTAACCTGCTAATAGCCTTAATTTGTAAGATAAACAGTAGAAGAGTTTGACACTCACTCACCTAAGGCGCTTTTCCTCGGCTGCACAGCCTCTGCTGCCTTCGGCTGCGTTGGAGGGACTGGCTGAAGGCTGTGGGGGGAACAACAGAGTCACTGCCTGCCTCCGCCATGCTATCTGTTAAAGAGATTTTCTCCCAGAGAGAAATTAATTTCCTTTTTCAGACGGGCCGCAGAGTCTGTGGCACAGTCTGCGTCGTCCAGCTGCGTCCCCGGAGCGGGAGGCTTTTAGAACTGCGCTGCTGTAAAATCTGACGGAGCCACTAAACCTCCGAGAAAGCTGCAACTTCTTCACTTTGTTTTTTCTTTTATTTCACTTTGATTTTTTTTTTTACCTATATGTCTTTAAACTGCACTCAGCCCACAATTTAAAGCACATTATGCTTTTAGTTTGAAAGTGTCATAACATGGATGTTACATGAGTTTTATATTTGAATTTAAAATAAGTCAAATTTAGTTTTGAAGGTTTTTGGTAATTTATTCAACTTTTTATTAATTGTTATATTTATAGGTTATGTCATTGATAACTTTAATTGTATAAAGCAAGTTCCCAACATTAGGTCAATAAACTCAACAAGTGTTACAGCAAAGGCATGTGCTATTTTTTTTATTTATTACTATATATATATATATATATATATATATATATATATACTCTGTATTTAAAATATACTGTACATAGAGTATATAAAATCAACAAAGTGGACATCACCACTTGTTTAATCCAGAAAAACCGACACGTTGCAAAAGACCAATTTTGATAATCAGCTAAAACTGAAATGCTAAAGATAAACTAAGTTGAACAGTAGCTAAAATTAGCCAAAGTAGATACAAGCTGAAATCTGCCAAACCATTGTTAAAAGATAAAATTATTCAAACAGTAGCTAAAAGCTAAAATAAGAAATAAATGCATCTAATATCTAAAACCTCAGCTAATAGCTAAAATTCAACAACATTGTACCTAAAATGTAAAATCAGTAAAACCCAAACTAAAAGCGAAAATAAAAACATTAGCTAAAATCTAAAATGAGCTTAATGGTAGCTAAAAGTTAAAAAGAGCAAAACCGTATGTAAAAGATAAAATCAGCTAAAAGCCTAAAATTAGCTTGTTCATTTAAACCGATCAGTAGATCAATTACATTTATCAAAACAGCAGCTAAAAGCTAAAACAGACAACTGTACCTAAAAGCTAAAATCAACAAAACAGTAGCAAAAGAATAGCTAAATTCTACAATCAGCCAAACTGTTGCTGGAAGTTAGCTAAATAATAGCTGAAAGCTAAGAGGGGTAGATTGTCAGTGAAACGTAGCTAAATAGTATCTAAAATCTAAAAGAGGCATAAAATAATAGAGCAAGAATATTGAAGCCAATTTTTTAAAAATGCAACAGACTGAAGAAATTAAAGAAATGTCAATTTGTTTCTATAAGGATTTTTCTAAATAAAATTAAATATAGTGAATCGTGAAAAAGTTACAAAAACAGAAGTTATTCTTGACTGACTCAACAGTCACACAATAAATACATCAGCTTCACAACCTCCGTTATTTAACTGACTGTTTTCTAGTTTTTTCATGAGCAAACCTTTTAATAACCAAATGTGTTTCTAATGTGAGGTCGAGCAAAGTGTCTGAACTTTTTGAAGGTTTTAGGAAACTGAACAGTCTCATTTTCAATCAATTCCATGGAGTTATAGAACTTTGGGTCATTCTCAACAAAACAAGCTGCTAAACATTTACATGAAAATTAAAAGATTGTGATATGCTGTTGTTATAAAGTTAGTGTTTGTTATTCAGCACATTTGAACACATTGTTTGCCAGAACATGTGCAGTTGCTTTGGAAAAATTCTGAACATAAAATCAGTCTGAACCTCAGGAGAGCTAAGAGCTGCTGGTCCAGAGGAGCATAAGCAATAAAGATGTCTGCAATAAACATGATTTTATATTAAACTGAAATTTAATAAATTCATATCGTGAACGTTTCCATTTATTTTCCAACAATCATCTCACACATCCAGGCTGAACATAAGAACAGCATGGATTCTATCTGACGTGCAACCACATTAAGGTTGGCTTTAGCTGCACAGCTAAGGTAGAAAAGAAGTAAATTAGACAAACTTTAGTGATTTATCTAATCTTCTTTGACCTGAGGTACACCTCAGGGTTCTGTATTAAGTCCTCTTTTAATTTTTACTCATTAAACCTCTGGAGTTCAAATTCAAAAGATCCTGTATGACATATATGACATATAGACAGCATAATTTTCCAAAAGTGTTGTTTAAATATTTGATACGGTTCCAAAAAAAGTTGCTATATTGACAGTCAGCGAGATTATTAATGTTTTAATGTCAGTGAGTTTGAAAAAATTTAGCAAAATCCAGAAATTAACCTGAGTCAGCAAATATGCCCAGGTTAAATAAACTTCAGTGTCGTCAGCATACGGGATCATTTTGAATTTGAACTCAAGAGGTTTAATGAGTAAAAATTAAAGCAGCCTCAATACAGAACCCTGAGGTGCACCTCGGGTCAAAGAAGATAAGATAAATCACTAATGTTTGCAGAAAAGGATCTGTCAGACAGATAAGACGCAAGTCAATTAAGAGCAAAGTGTCAAATCCTCTAAAGCTGGGAGATAAACCCACGATATTAGATGCAGCTGTGAGTTCAGGTAATATAAGAACTGGACCGACACCAGAGTCAACAAGGAGCACAACGTCATTTCTAACGTTTTCATCACAGCCTTAAACCCAAATTAAATATAGCACCTACACCAATGAACAAAGGGCTGTTGAAATGCAAATGTTCTCAATTATTTTAGGTAAAAATACATTAAAAATATTTCTGGCTGTCACACAGATTATTTTAATTATTAAAAAGGAACAAAAAGAGTTAGAGAAAAGAAATGTACATGTGGAAATCACATTTTGACATGTAAAGAATGTTAAATCAGCATGTGCCATATGTAGAACATGTCTTGCACATGTCTCCTGTGTGAATTTGGAGCAAAATAAATCAAATTTTCACATTTTCCAGGTGATTTTGAAACAACACGTTTCTGTTCTCACGTTATAGTCACATGACGTTCTACATATGTTGCAAAGTCAAAAACAAGTTAATGTTTCTTCTGTAAGTGTGTCGTGAATCAGCACTTTTCTGCTTTTGTTGGTACCTTGCAGTTATTTGTTAGTCACCAATCATTTAGGTTAGTTTCCTGCAACAAAGGCATTAAAAAATAACCAGTATTTGTCATTTTGGTTCGTTTGGTGGTGTTTCATTTCAAAATGATGTCATCACCATTAAAACAATCAATAGTAACTTTTCTGCCTTGTATTTAACTGTGCATATTATTTTTTGCACTTAAAGTGAATAGAGATGAAAAGGGACGTTACAGGAGCTCTCAACGTCCAGACACCAAACGATGAGCGAGATTAAAAGCAGCAGCAAGCGTCCACAGCGTCCCACTATCTGAGTCAACAGTGACAGGGTTGACATTAACCTCTGACCCCTCTCCCATCTTTTCACACACTCCCACTTCCCCTCATTCCGCCTCTCCTCCTTTCAGCTCCACCCATGAAACTCTGCTTTCATTCACACGTATTCCTTAAAGAAGAAGAAGAAGAAGAAGATGGGCACCACAGGGTGACTCCAAGCCCAAAGTAAATTGTCTTTCCTGAGGCTCAGTCATTTTAATGCAGCAGATTTATTGCGCTGTGCTTTTTGGAGGGCGATCATCTACGTGTGGTCAGTAGCTCGTTTGCAGTCTGTGACCCAGCCTCCCTCTCACGTTACACCCTATTTATAACATCCCCTCTGCCGGCTCCCCTCGTTCTGCAGTTCCTAGGAACCTCTTGAGCTTCCAGCCTCGAGCTCCACTCCTCTGTTCCTCCTGACATCTGAGAAGCTCTGCTGCAGGCTGTCCTGAGCTAACAGTTTATCCTGCACAGCCTGCCAAGCAGCCGTCGGCTCCGGATTACCACAGGACACCGTTTCACAGCCTCGCCTGTTTTCTGCTCTCACTGAGTCTTCCTCCTAACGGGACACGTTTTGGTGAAGTGTGTTGGATATGCGCTTGTGAGCTTCTGTTTTTGGTTGAAGAAGGAACTCAATCCCTTTGCCGTGCCCATCTCACCTTCCCTGGAGGGCCCGATGGATCACACACTGTTCGGCTGCCTGCGGAGCCCCCACGCCCCGGCGCAGACCCTGCACCCCGCCTTCAGCCAGTCCCCCTTGACTCTCCATGGACGCTCAGACCACATCACCTACCCCGACCTGGCCTCTTCATCCTCCTCCTCGTCTACATCCTCACCTTCAGCGTGCATCATCTCAAGCTACTCGACTGATGACGGCCTGTTTCCCGGGCAGCCCCCCCACCACCACCACCACCACCGGGCTCACCTGCCCTCCCAGCAGCATCACCACCCACCTCAGCACCACACGTCTTGGCACATCCCACAGATGCCGTCGCCCGGCGGCAGCGCATGCCACGGCCTCTGCCACCCGCACTCCCTCCCACCTCATGACAACAGGCCCGCTCCTCCGGACCTGGGCCACCCCGGCGCTCCCAGCATGTGCGCCAGCACCCCGACGCTGGGCAACGGCAGCCCCCCCACAGGGGCCTCCTGTGTGCCTTCAGACTTTGGCAGACAGACGTTGTCACCTGCTGAAGCTGAGAAGAGGAGCAGCAAAAGGAAAAGTGACAGTTCAGGTAAGAAGATGTGGAAACAATAAAAACGGCTCAGCCTCACGTTTTGTCTCTTTCTGACACGCTGCACAACCAAAGACTGAAACACGTTGCAACTCTTTTCTTTGACTTGAAATATGTTTTGAAACATTCCAGTCACAGCTGAAGAACCGCAAACATGTGCAGGTGTTGGAAAATCTGCAGCTCCGACAGAAAAACAAGACAAACGGTGCCTGAGGGCGGTTTGTGTCGGCCGCAGGCGTGCGGAGCGACGGCCACACGTCCACCGGGCCCGTCTGACGGCTGCCATCTTGTTTCAGTCACATCTGCTCCACGCACAAAACGACGTGCGCTGTAAAGAACTGATGTCATGGATTGTAAAAGATTACGCCTCGCGCTGCACTAAACGCCTCGCACGTGCTCTTTCTCTGAATCCAGTCAAAATAAATCACAGTCAGGCCGGGGGGGGGGGTCAATCTAATATAAGAGAATGAGACGTAAAATAAAATAATTAGAATCTCAATTTGTTTGAGTTTCTTTAAAATAAAGTAGAATAGAATAGAAAAAACCTTTATTGTCCCACGGATGGGAAATTCAAGTGTAACAGCAGCAACAGATGAGTCAAGTTTTATTGATTATAAATTAAAATGTCCAGGAATTATGCAAATTATAATTAAACTAGTTTTAGACAAGGCCACCACTTTATAAGTGTTTATTAATGCATTAAAATATGTTGTTCATGAGTTTGTGAACATTTGATGAATTATTAATTGTCATTTATAAAGTACTGGAGCTGGTTCTCTGTATTTTTATTCTTTTATATTAAAGATTTTAATATCTAACATCTGTCAGTAATTCACCTGCATTTGTAGATGCAAAGTTTGTTTTTGTAATTAAAAAAAACTCCTTATCACAAGCAAAGGCTACTTTTACCTGAACGAATAAAACATCACTTGAGCTTGTTAAATTGTGAGCGTGCTTCAACGCATGAACAGTTTTATGACAAATATTTAAATACGTGCGTTATTAATAATTGCTAAAGCTTTATAAAATGTTCATAAACTCATCAATAACCTATTTATGAGGTAACAATAAATATTTTATGAAGGATCCCTCCTTTGGAAGTGGAACCACTATAATATATTTCCTTTTATTTAAAATTTGTGTAAAATATAGTCTCTAAAATCTGTTAGTGTGAGTTTTTGTTGTTAAAATACAAAAACCTACTGTCATTAATGAACGTCCAGCATTAGAGAAATGTCTCATTTTGTCGTGTATTCAAAGTAAAATGACCTCGCTGACGTCCTGCAGATTATTTCCGACCTGCAGGCTCCACCGTGATCAATCACAGCGCGACAAACGAGCAGTTTGAGTCTCCAGAGCTCGCTCTGGGAACGTGATGTTAGTGCGAGTTTCACGGAGATGTGTCCTCGCTGAGCTCCTTTTGAGGAGCGCAGCCCCTCAGCACGGATCCTTTAAAGGCCCCTTGGTTGCCACCTCCTGCGTGATTTTTGTCCAGGACAACTTTGAGCTGACCGGCTGGCCTCTCCTGCAGGCCACAGCTCGTTTACGGACACGAGTTTGCAAAATACAAAATGAACGACTCTTGGCTGGATTTATTAATCCACCAGGAAAATGCAACTGGAAATAATTTGATTTATAATCCTCATAATCCCTCCAGATGTGATGTTATGGGAGCGGAACCATGGATATAAATTTAAAGGAAAAGCTGAAAATTGTGCAAAAAGCTGAAACCAAATTTTCTGTTGTATTTGTTCTGTGCTAAATATTTCCTCACGCACATGGAAAATGTTGCAATCACACTTTGACTTTTCCTTCTGCGTTTTGAAATCCGTCTGCTCGTGCTGCAACGTTAGCTGCATTCTCACCACAGTAACACCAATCACACTGATTATGGGGCTAACTGCGCTGCTGACTCAGTCAGCTGTCTAAATATCAGACCACTGCCTTTTGCATGAGATAGAGCTCGGCTTATGTTTCAGCATCTGGACCAGGAGCTTGAAGGAAAGCCAAATTTAACTGCAGAAATAATAAAATCTGAGAGCTCATTTCCATATAATTTTTTCAAACATAACTGCTTCTAATGCTCTGACCGTTTCCTCGAGCGAGGCTGCAGGTAATGAGATGAGTCAGGGTTTTTCATTTCGGGGTAACCTGCTCCTTTTTTTTTGTTTTGGGCATTGCCTCAGAGTTTTGTGTCTCTTAAAGGCAGGGTTGACTTTGCTGAGTTTACAGCTCTGTCAAGGGAGGGGTCGTCCTTTAAAAGTTACCAGTCTTCCAATAAAAGGTGCTTATTTTGTCAAGGCATTGTTGTAAAAAGAAGCGGGAGGCCTCTCGCTGACAGTCTCTTTGCAGAAGATTGAGTCAAACGTGGTGCGAGTGCCTGTAGATTTGTGTTGTTTGTTCCGTCTGCCAATCAAACAAATGCACATTTTCACCTTCACACAGAGAACGCTGGTTAAAATAGCAGGAGTTTGTTGGTTTTTCATCCATTTGCAGGTTTTTCTCCCCCAAACGGTCTCTTTTGAACTTTGCCAAGTTCATTGGAGAACCCTAAGCTTTGCGCCGTGTCTGGGTGTGTGTGTGTGTGTTTCTCATATTATTCCTCCTTTTTTGTGGAAAGATGAAAGTTACAGCCGGGACCTAATTGCTGCGGTGCAGTGGCTGCGCCATAAAAGCCCGCCGCTCGTTTTAACTCCAGCCTGTCGGTCTGAAGCGGCTGGCTGCGTTGTACTTTGATTTCTTTTTGACATGATGTCTGCGTGAACCGGAGGCAGAGGGTCAGCCGGTCTGAAGACGGGCTGCAGACACCCACTTGTCGTTGGGAGTGTGAAATTACAGGCAGGGGAAGACGGGGGTCAAAGGGCAGCTGGACTCGGGCTTCGGGTCAACATAAGTTTCATTTTGTAACATTCATGGAGGAAATGGTTGATTTTTGTTTGTTCTAAATGTGTGCAGTTTAATTTCATCTTTTCCTCAGACAAAGTTATTTTTGTCTTTCTGAAAAACATAAACTTAATGAGAACAGAGTCTTCACGACGGACAAACAGAACCAACAGGGGGTCCGTAAGAGGAGAAACTTTAGATTTGGCGTCACACTTTGCATCGTTTGTGGGTCTGGACGGGGGCTGCGGGACTATTTACAGTTTTCCTTGACGCAGGATCATCAAACCCTGCAGGAGACGAGCACAGATACATTTGCATGCGATTGCAGCTGTCCGTAAGTCCAACGTGCATCTGAAGCCTGTCCAGCAGAAAAACCACAAAAGCTGCTCATAATAGGAACAATTTGAAAGCCAAATTAAACGCGTGTGTTTTCTTTGGAAACTTTTTTTTAAAGACACACAAAACAGCACTTTTGCAAAAGTAAGGAGTAATAATGACAGAAGGCCGGGATATTTAGTTGTTTTTAAAGCAAGCGCACAAACTGTTTATCCCTCACCCAGTTCTCTGGTTTGGTTGTGCACGCAGATTCTTTATCACACAAATGTGTGATAAATGTGTTTATATGAATGTGTTGGTTTGTCTGAACAAAATGTCTCAGAAACCACTGAACGTATCATCACGATGGAATCAGCCCAATTCAAGATGGCCGCCACGGCTCATCCACCTTAACCTACAAAAGAAAAATGGCAACACCTCAGTAATCTAGCAAAGTTTAGTCAGGTCCTCTGGATGAATTCTTCTTGTTGAGACGTTTCGTCTTTTATCCAAAGGACTTCTTCAGTCTGAGGAGCTGCAATAAACTCAGTCTCTTAAATAGCACTTTCTCATGGTGGATCAACCAGTTTGTTGTTGACATCCAGAACCAGCTGATCACATGATGAAGGACCATCAGCCTAACAATGGATCATTAGCACCTGATGGCTGTTTACTGTTCACAGAGGGCTGAGTGATACTAGCAATCACAGCATTGTAAGAGGGGGACAGTTGAACCCGGAGGCCTCCACCCCTGTTTAATGATGGACGGTTTCTTTTCACAAAGATGGCCTCCTTTACTCCTCTCTCAAACCATCGTTCCTCTCTGTCCAGGATGTGAACATCTTCATCCCTGAATGACCTCTGACCTGCAGATGAGTGTAGACCTCAGTAAGTTTTTGCAGAAGCTAAGATCTGCTGTGGTGGTGGTTGAGAGTCATCCCCAACACGCTGTCAGATCACATGAGCTGTTTGTAAGTTGTGAACAAAACAACAGTCATTTTCCAACAGAAGATGCTCTGAGACTCTGGCACGAACAGCAGGCGATGATTTGCCTTTCACTGGGAAGAGTTTTGCCTTTTTATTGCTCCTAAACAAACATTTTATGAGCATTTATTGTTCGACTGACTGTTTCTACTCTTGAAAGACGGAGTCAATTAAAAACAAAAAGCAAAGATTTCCAAATACACTTCATCTTTACTGAGTCTTTGTTCCAAGCTAGCTAATAAAGTCACAGCAGCAGATTCCTCTTAAACAAAGACAAATTAAATCCATGCTGGCTGTATAAAAGCAGCTGCAGACAGATGTGCTCCCGCCCACGAGTCCTTCCACTCACTTAAAGTATCCATAAACAACGAGTGATAATAAAATGTGACTGGCAGCTCTCTCTGTTTCTTACCTGAGCTGACGTGCACCTGCCTCACGGCCTGTTTTGAGTTGTTTCTTTGTGTTGGTGTAAATCTGAGCCGAGCGCAGCACAAACCTGTCGGTGTTTGGTTTCAGAGTCCCAGGACGGGAATTACAAGCCAGACGTGAGCAGCAAGCCCAGGAAGGAGCGGACGGCCTTCACCAAGGAGCAGATCCGAGAGCTGGAGGCCGAGTTCGCCCACCACAACTACCTGACCAGACTGAGGCGCTACGAGATCGCCGTCAACCTGGACCTCACTGAAAGACAAGTACGTCCCCGAAGCGTGTCGGACATTACCGAGGCCTCTGTTAGCGTGTTGATGCCATGTTGTGGAAACGGAGGCGCCCTCAGGACTGCAGGGAGGCTTTTCACTCACTACTGTATTCTGGCTGTTTTGTTACGAGTCCAGATGTGGCTGCATCATAGGGCTATCCTATTCCAGATGTTCCTGTCTATTATTACAGCCACGACAGGGAGAGACAAGTTGAAGGAAGTGCTGTCTAGCAAGGCACTTCCTTTGTCCCACTGCCCCTGCAAAGACAAATTGGTCTCCGAGCGTAAGCCGCTCACTGTGAAACACATGAAACGAGCGAGCGGAGACGAACGGTTAGAGGAAGGACGAACCACCAGATGTTGTCCTGACACCTCTGTAAGCTGCGGCTCACAGCTGCTTCACTTTATTCCTGAGAGTTCTGCCGAGTGACACGACCAGACCCACGTTAAAGAGCTGGAAATGATCCGCAGGCTTCAGGCGACGCCTCACTCTTTTACTCTTTCAAAGGTTTAACCACAGGGAACGTTCTACTCTCACTTTGTCTCATGCACACTTCATCAAACGCCAAACTTCAATAAAAAATAAAACACTTCTTTATTTTCACAAAACAAACTTTAACTTAAAACTAAGTTTACTCTAAAAACTGCTGGGTTATTTTAATAACTCATGCACTGCTAAATCTTTTGGGTTTGGGTTGAGTTGAACAAATGTTCGGTCAAAATGGGGGGGGGGGGGGGCACAGAGTAGAGAAGGTGGGCCTGTGATTGGAAGGTCGCCGGTTCAACTCCCCAGACACAACGTCAAAGTGTGGATGATAAAGGTGAAACACCCACACCTGCCTCCACCCTCATTTGCCCCAATCTCTGGGCCCTTGAGCAAGGCCCTCAACCCCCACTGTCTGCTCCCCTGGGCGCCCTACATGCAGCTCTCTGCTCCACAGAGGCGGTGGTAGCTCCTGGTCTGTGGTTGAGTCAGGAAGAACATCTGGTGTAAAAACAATCACCGAGTCTTCTTCATGTGAGCTGCTTTGTTGTGGCGACCCCTGAAGAAGGAGCAGCTGAAAGAAGAACATGATCAAAAAGCTGGAAACAGTGTTTGGGTCAAAGATAATCTGTTCATTCTTCACTTTCTGACTCTAAGCCAGACGTGGACCAGAGGAACCTGACTGGACCTCAGCTTCAGGACCAACAGTGCGATACTGCAGGAAGGATGGAGGTCTGAAGACTGTGGCAGTCGACCATGAGTGTTTGGTCTGTCCTTCAAAGAGGCAGTCTGCTCTTAAACATCCAGTGCCACGTCACACGAGCCGCATGTGTTAACCGATTAAACCACAAAGATAACAACTTAAACAGGACGCACAAAAAATACAGACAACAGCTGCAATCAGATTATTTTAATTAATGTTATATTTGTGTCACTTCAACACAAAGTAGATGTTTGAGTCAAACTACAGAGAAATAGCACAAACAGAAGAGTCTCTGTAAGAAGTTTCATTAGTTCTTCAGAGCGCCCCCAAGTGGAAGCAGCCTGCTCTGAACCATCGTTTCATAGCATGGAATGAAACATGTATGAAACATGTATGAAGCATGTCAGACATGCAGGAGAAATGAGGCTTGTGTTAAAAGTGAAATGTTTTAATTCATTTCTATCCTTTTTGGACGACCTTTGATGCATCACTCAGATAAAGTGCCGGGTTATGGTTGAGCATTTAAAGCCCTGGGTTCTGGTTAGAAAAACATCACGAGGAGGTTTTAGAAGACATCGATCCAGAGGTGACATGTTTTATTTAGCAGCCTGGGAACCCCCGTAAGTCCACAACAGATGTTTCTCTTTGAATTAAAAATGAACGCAGTGGGTTCAACACCAGGCGTGTGAAGGGTTAACGCACAAACCAAAGTCATTGCATTTAATGTGTTAAATAAGACGTTGCTTTACATCTAACATCATGAGGTTATCAGAGGTTTAGGCTAAAACCAGGCTGAAGAAGATTCCTGTCAGAGAACAAGACGCTGCAGGTTTCTCTCCGTTCTGAAAGATCCTGCAACGTGAGACTTGGAAAATGTCGGCTGCATCACGTTCTAAACAATTCCCCACATTGGGTTCGAACTGTGCAGGTGCAGAACTCCAGAGGAAGTCTCCCCTTCAGTCAGAACAACAAAGTGGAGGTTGCCATCTTCACAAGCTGCTTCACAAACCGCTGCCATAGTTCTTTTGGTGGAATCCAGTGTGTGTTTCTTTAAGCTCTTGCTGCACGAGTTGTGTGTGATCTCAATTTGTCAGGGAAATATACAGCAGGAGATAGTGGGGTAAATACTGGCAGTGGAAGGCGCTGTCCAAGTCACTTGATTTATGCCGCGAGCGCTGTTTGGAGAAATCAGATGGAAGTTTAATGTGTTTGGAGGAACTGGAACGTTTCTAAAGATGGCAGCAGCTCAGCATGACGTGGAAACATCGTTCATGTTTGGAGGTTAGCCAGCTTGAACGGTTTGTTCCTTCAGTGTGGAATAAAACCAGCTCCAACAGCTAATTTCACAAAGTCCCCGCTCTGCTTGAAAAAATGTTCATTTTTATTACGAATAGTGTTTTTATTTTATTTTTTGCTATTTTAAATTAGGGCACATTAGTTACATAAGGATATGAATGGGGAGTGGTGGCACAGAGGTTAGAGAAGGTGGGCCTGTGATTGGAAGATCGCTGGTTCAACTCCCCGGACCGACAACATCAAAATGTGGGTGGAAAAGATGAAACACATCTGCCCCACTCTGGGCCCTTGAGCAAGGCTCTTAACCCCCACCATCTGCTCCCCTGGGTGCCCTGGATGGCAGCGCTCTGCTCCACACAGAGGCTGTGGTAGCTCGGTGTCTGTGGTTGGGTCAGGAAGGACCTCCAGAGTAAAAACCGTCACCAGGTCTTCATGTGAGTTAGTTCTCTGTGGAGCCCCTGAAGAAGGAGCAGCTGAAAGAAGAAGAAAAAGTTGTATAAGACATGTGAGAAGCTGGATGAGGATTCAAGGACTTTTTATTGTCATACCAGCTCACATGAGCATGTTTATGGTATGAAATTCAGACTCAGGTCCCAGATCAAGAATCTAACAATTAACAAATAAATAAATACAAAAGAGTATTATTTATAAAAATATATATAATAAAGTAAAACAATGTAAGATGAAGCTGAGTCAGTGCAGCTCGAGTCCAGCAGTCTGACAGCTGCAGGGAAGAAACTGTTTCTGAGCCTGGTGGTTGCTCTGAATGCTCCTCAGCCCCCTGGGAGGGAGGGGCTGGAACAGACTGTGCGCAGGATGAGTGGAGTCCTTCATGATGCGGAGCACCCTCCCCCTGCAAAACCTTCTAGATGAGCACTGCTGCGCTCACCGGAGGTTGTGGAGGATCGTTTTTCTGTCACAACTACAAAACCAAGCAGTTCAGGTGCAGACTGTCCCGCGCCTTAAGAAAACATGACACACAGACAAAACGCTGTAGCTCTCGCTCCGCTCCTGCGTTCTGACGCGAGGCCATCACGGCGTACGTGCCTGATGTTGACACAAACATTTGTGCTGTCAGCTGACTACCTGACCATGTGACCACGCGACCCCCACAGAACAACATTCCCCCAAAATAAACCCAGCTAACCCTGCGTGACTTGGCCTCTTCTCGTGTCGACCCCACTGGAAGCCTCTGTGCCGCTTGACGTGTAAACTGTTTTAGGCAACAGCTTAATCATCAGTCAGGGAGTGAAATTCAATCGAGGCTGTTGAGTCAGGGGAACAGGCAGACGGCAAGCAGCAGATGGAGCAGCAAGTGCTGCAGTAGACACCACTCTAAGGTCAGCACCCAGCAGCGAGGCCAACTGCTTCTTCACTAACTCTGTTTACTTCTTCAGTAGACAGCTAGTCCTTTTTAATGTGGGCTGTGCGGAGAAGTTATGCACAGTCAGTATCCTACCTGCAGTATCCTACAATCACAGTGATCTTGGTTTGGAGAATCAGGGAGTTCTAAAAAGGCCTACTCAAGATTAAATGTTTGCTAAGGCAACTCTAAAGGTTTTCAAATCGTTTGACAAAATGTTGTTTTAAATATTTTAATATTTTTAGCTGCTGCAGCTAATGAAGGAGCAGCGAGTGACCTCAAAATCTTCACCGAACGCTGAAAGGGTGAAGCAAACTACAAACTATGTTGCAACTTTTATTACCAAGGAATTACACCTGCAGTCAGTGGATGGAAAAAAGTGCTTGTGAATTATGTTTCATCGAGCCATGACAGAAAAATATCATCCTGTTAAAGAAACTAAACCACCATGTCCACACCTGCAGAAAACAGGTGAAATATCTGGCATGTGATGAACATGGGCATCAAATCTTACGTCACAGTTGTTTCCTGCAGGATCAATAAAGTTGTATCTTATCTTATCTTATCTTATCTTATCTTATCTTATCTTATCTTATCTTATCTTATCTTATATTATCTTATCTTATCTTATCTCATCTTATCTTATCTTATCTCATCTCATCTCATCTCATCTTATCTTATCTTATCTTACCTTATCTTATCTCATCTTATCTTATCTTATCTTATCTTATCTTATATTATCTTATCTCATCTCATCTCATCATCTTATCGTATCTCATCTTATCTCATCTTATCTTATCTCATCTCATCTCATCATCTTATCT